ATCCTCCTGCCTCAGCCTCCCAAGTAGCTGGGACTACAGGCATGTGCCACCATGCCCGACTAAATTTTTCTATATATTTTTAGTTGTCCAATTAATTTCTGTCTAATTTTAGTAGAGACAGGGTCTCGCTCTTGCTCAAGCTGGTTTCGAACTCCTGAGCTCAAACAATCCGCCCGCCTCGGCCTCCCAGAGAGCTAGGATTACAGGCGTGAGCCACCGCGCCCGGCCTTTGAGGATCACTTTTAATAAGCCAATTTCAAGAGGATTCTTGGGGTAAATATATTTTAGTTCCTGAATATCAGGAATGATAATAATATACCTTACAATCGTTTAATGTTTTATAGAAACTGATTTCAGTTTCATAATAGTTTTTTGTTTGTTTTTTGGTTTGGCAGAACTGGTATTATTTTCCTTTGCTAATGAGAAAACAATTTGAAGAAGTTAAGTGACTTGTCCAGTGTAATGTGGCCAGACTTCTGATTCCTGTTCAGTGTTTGCTCCCTTCTTCCCTCTTTCCCTTTCTTTTGTCTTTTTCTTATTTTTTAAATTGTCATCACTTACATAAAGTAAAATGCAGAGGTGTTCAGCAGGATCAATTTATATTTCGTGGTTCTTCCTACTGCCTTCACCTCAACTCCCATGGAGATTATCATTAATATGATGATGTCTATTACCATAGATTAGTGTTGTCTGATCTGGAACTCTAGAAATGGAATTATATATAGTATGAACTCTTACGTGTCTGGATTCTCTCGCTAAATATTATGTCTGTGAAATTCATGTTGCATTTAGCAGTAATTCTTTTTCATTGCAATGTAGTATTTCATTGTTTGAGTATTAACCATTCTCTTCATTGATGGATGTTTGGGTTGCTTCCAGTTTTTGACTATTGTGAATAATCTTGTTGTGGACATACTTGTACATGCCTTTTGGCAGATGTGTACCCTTTTGTCTGGGTAATTTTAGAATTTTAGAATGAAATTGCTTGGTAATGGGGTATATATGAATTTAGTTATAGTAGATATTACCAGTTTCCTAAACCAGTTTGTGTACTCCTCAACAAAGTATGAGAATTTATTCTAATTCTCTACTGACACTTGATATTGTCCTGTGTTGTTTTTTAAGCGAGCATCTATGATAGCCGCCGAACTCACATGTACACAGACATGCACATTCACCTTTTAGTTCTAAGAGAAAAGAGTCATTTAATAGTCATGAAACATTAAATGCTTTTGGAACTGTTTATCAGCATCCTTCCATTCCATGTAAAACTGGTTTATGGTATTTATTTTAGTCAATTATGTGTTTGAAAAGTTAGTCTTGGTGCTTCACTGATATCAACGTCCTGTGCGTTTTTACCATCTGTCTGTGGAACAGATGCCTTTTACTGCGGTGCAGTCTTGGTTTCTCAAGGGCTGCCAATTCCAAAATTTGGATGAATACTGTCTTTACTCTTTTTCATTTAGTTTGCACTTAAATCCTAGTGTTTTGAAGATGAACATTGAAAATTTGTAAACATTTTTATTATATAACATTAGTTTTACTTTGGTACAGTATCACTAATGGTTTTATGTTTGTCTTTTAATGCGTACTTATTTCGAAATTCCTTAATTCTTGAATTACTTTGAAATTTTACAGAATATGGGTCTTTGAGAATATATTCACCAGGAAGGTAAATTTTGTCAGTTGCTATTTTCCGTATGATGTGATTTTCCCACCATATATACTAAGAGTTTGCATTTTCAGCAACATTGGAGAATTTGTCTAAATGATATTCTTTTAAATGTGTTGAGAAATAAGTGTTTTTTCTCTACCGTTGAGATTTGCTACATAGCAAGTGCATGTTGTGGCAGCGTCTCTGCCCGGGATACGTGGCACAGTTCAAAGAACACCAGCTCAAGCATGAAGAGAGTTGATTTCTAGTGTCAATCTAAGATTTACTCACTATTTTAATTTCAACAAATTATCTCACCTTTTTAAGCCTTAGGTTTCTCATCAGAAAAAATGAGGATCACAGCAATGAACTGCTGGTATCATTAAAAGGGGAAATTTTTATTTCCTTTTATTTTTTTATTTTCATTTGAAGGAACTTTAAAAAGTACTTTATTAATATATACATGATAATAAATTATCTTTGTAAAAAGTAGGTTTTTTTCTTTTCTGACAGATTTTTTGGTAGTTACGAGGGTTAAAAAATCCATTTGATTACAGAAAAAACAGAAAAACTTTACAACAAAAAAGAACTAGCTATGGTTCAATAACATTAAAACCCAAATAAATATTATTCAGGAAGCAATACATTAAGCATCTAAAACTTTTTTTCTGTGAATGTATTTTTGTTAAGTCAGTCCATTTATGGGCAGTACTTTGTCACTGGAGAAGTGAATTACTTTAGCAATTTAAATTTGAGCTGTTATCTGGCTAAATGAGCTCTTACACCATAAATATTTCCTAGTAAAATAAGGTGGCTTAGGATAAGCTAAAAATTGATCAGCAATTTTTACTAGTTCTGAAATTGAGATGACTTAAATTAAAAAAAAAAATCAGGTGATTTTATAAGGTCCATAATTGCTTTAGGAAGTACTTTTAACAGTCAATGAGATTTATTCTTGGCTCTAAAAAGAAACAGGGCAGTAGTGCCACATTGTGTATATTTTTGCAGTATTGATTATTATTAATATCATATAGAATTTTTTGGTCAAATTTTTAAACTTTTATAGACTATTGAACCATATCTATTAGGACATCAATCATTTGGAATCAGTGTAAGATGTGGAGTTTATTTGCACTTCTTTTACTGGTTTATTCATTCAAGAAATATTTATTGAGTGCTTCATAGGTACAATGCGTGGTGCTGTAAGTGTAATACTGAACAAGATGAGCATGATTCTTGCCTTCAGGGGGCTACATTGTATCTGGGGAGGACAGCCTTAAACAGATAATTGCACCGATTATTTTAGTAAACTTGTGGCACTGGCCCATAGGGGAGAAGCAGAGTCTTTTGAGAGCGTACAACAGAGGGTCTCATCTAGGGGCTCCCATTGCTCGGGCAGTCCTGGGGAAGGGTAAGCGGTGAGAGGATGAACCTATGGGAAAGAGGTCTGATTGACTGAGCACGCTAGGGGAGGAAGGGGATGCAGACCCTGGGAGCTATGGCTCTTGGATGGGAAAAAGGCCTGCTGCTATCTCTCCTGGGTGAAATAGGTAAGAATGTCTGGAAACAGATCAGTTTTTGGGGTGAGATGTTGGTAGCTGTGTGAATCTCTAATGCATGGTCCTTGTTTTTCTCTTGTCTGCCGAGAGTGAGGGAAGCAAGCAGGACAGGAGGAGAGTGGTGACTGAGTGAGATGACTCTAGGGAGTGTCAGAGAAAGAGACCAGAACGCTGATGGCTGCATGGTTGTGTGATTTTCTCCAGCAGTATTGAATTGCCATTGTGTGGGATTAGAGATGGTGACTGGTTGGACTGATCCAAGGCTGATTATTTTCTTTCAAAAAAATCATTAATTTTATACAGGAGACTCATAAGATGATTTAAATGAAAGATAAGAAATTGGTGCATTCTATTTTGTTTAATTGAAGGCAATATTCAGTCATTTACCAGTGCTATCTCACTCTGTACTTTGAAAGTAATCCCTGGAATGGTGTGGCAACTGCCTGATAGTGTACAGGAGGAGAGAGTATTGTCAGCTTTCGGACTCGCACCTTTTATATGCTCTTTTGTAATGTGAATCCTGAAGCTATAAATAATAATGAAGAATCCATACTTGCAGTATGTTACATATTTCAACGTAGCATGGTGAATGGGCACAGAAAAGAAAGACCTACAAAACCAAGAAATTTTTGCAATAAGATGAAATTGATGATAAATGGAAGAGAAAAGAGTGCTCTAGGTTGACTTTTTATTTATTTATGTCTAGAAACCTTACTCAAGTTATCTCTACAAACAAGAAAGATGGGATTCTTCTTCTTCAGAAAAAGTTTCTACCTGCTAACTTAACTGGAAAAATACAGTTTTTTCCATTATGGAGGATTATTTTAGAGCTGAAAATGCATTATTTCTTTGTCATTAGTTTTTGCTAATGTTTTGAGTTTTCAGGCAAACTGTATTACTGGATATATTGTATATTTGTGGAAATATATTAACTACTTTCTCCTTAGAACCTAACATAACCTTTTCTTGATAACGTTTGACTATTCTACCAAGTTTACTTATATTATTGCGTTTTTATAAATGAGTGCCTGGAATTCTTTGAAATGTTAAGTTTTTATGAATGTTATTTAAATTAGAACAGTTTAATAGCATCATGTATATTAGGTGATTCTTTCCTTTAAAAAAAACTTTTTTATTATTAGCGTGTTCTTTGTGAAGGCTAACATCTGAACTTTCCTTCTCTTTCCCCCGTTCTTAAACATACAAGGCTTGTTGTAAATAGTTAGGAAAGAGCCTACGCCAGGTGTTCCTGCTAGCTAGCTTTGGTAAAATGAAGGGGCTTGTAACTTCCAGGGGTATTATTCCTATTTATTTTAAGTTTCAGATTTACAGTACAGTTTCTATAGGACAGTGATACAGAACTGACAGTTTTAAAAATCACAAGCAGTCTTTTTCAAGTGTTTAATTAGACGTTTTGTATGCCATATAGATTTTTTATAAAGTTTCCACTTATTGGGTGCATGAAACATTATAAGCATTATAAGGCAATGTGCTTATTTATCAAACTATCAAAGATGTAGTTATTTTGTGCCTGATTTCTCTAAATATGTGTGTTAAGTAGTTTTGAATTGTGTAGATTTAATTTGGGAGACAAAATCATCTTCATTTCTAAGAGGTAGAGATAAAAGCAAACAGGATCAACTTTTGAAGAGATATTAGGGAATTTCGAATGCTCTGATGCTAACAAGTGGTAGCAAAAAATGCGACTTTTCATTTAGAAACGTGTGTGTATGATCTCATGACCTTAAATGCTTTCCAGTTTTAAAGCTGCACTTCTTCTCGTGTAGAGTTCTCAATACGTGCAATGTGTTGCTGGGTGTCTGCAGCTGATGCTCCGGGTCAATGAGTACCGCTTTGCCTGGGTGGAAGCAGATGGGGTAAACTGGTGAGTGCCCTTTACTTCTAATGTGGAATAGCATTTAAAAGCATCTTTCCTTGATGTTTTCAAAGAAATAAATACATTTAACCATCTAAAAGAAGGATTTTATTTTTTTTGTGTCTGTTTAACAATGGATTTATGCTAACCTTTTTAGAAATCAGTCACTATCAAACTGAATGTTTCCTCTTCCCTTGCTTGATCTGTGCTTTTATAAGATGTTAAGATTTCCCAAAAACCTGATGCTTGACAGAACAAATTCCAGGTGCTCAGAATATAAAAAAATTATGAAGTATTTTTGCAGGAAATGGAGGCAGAAATGAACGAGAAAAGGTCTTACCCAAAAAGAATGAGTAAAAACTTTCCTTTCTAATGCCATATAATTTAGCCCATTCTTTGTGGGGTTCTAATTTGCAGGTACAGAAACTTTGAGGAGCTGCCTACTTGGGCTTGAGAAACTTATACAAACAACCAAAAAAACTTTAAAGCAATGGAAATTCTGTTTTACCACCAAAAAGCCAATTTATTTATTCATAATGAGTGATGTAACTGTTCTTAAGCCAAATACACTTTTCAGTTAGTGAGGGCATTGTTTCTCTGTTAGATAATCCATACAGGTTATCAACAGTGGGTTGCTTAATGAATGAGGATTTAGAGCAAGCATTAGACTCCAGGAGACTCCTGCACTACATCTCAGTATAGGGATATACTTGGGAAAGGGACCCAAGTTGTCTAGATCTCCTCAGTCAATATTTGTGTGCCGTTTCTTAGAGTAAGTTCTGCAAAGGCTATTCGTATGAGTTGGATTTGAATTGTCACAATCACTCGATATCCATTGATCCAATAAGTTAGTAATTATTTTTATATTGATCTATATAATTTCAATCTATTCATGTTTATTTAACATTCAATATGGCAGGAAAAATAGCTATCACAATTTGCCATCTGGGTCCAATAGACCCTGTAAAAAATAGATTTTTAGTCATTTTGTGAAAAATTAACGGAACTAAGAATAAAGAGTGAAAAACAAGTATTAGAAATTTTAATAAGGAATTGAAAAAATGGCAGAGTAAAGGTAACCTTCTGGATTCCTGCTCCCAGAGAAAGAGGCATAGATCTCGGTCTGCTACACGAGTGGATCGCTCTCCTGCAAGAACAGCATTGTTAATCGGCAGAGATTCAGCATGGGACACACAGAACAGGAAAAAAAAAAAAAAAGGTGAAAGGGAGATAGGAAGGAGAAATCTGGAGAGTGTGAGACAGACAATAGAGAGTGGAGCGTGGGACAGCTGCGCCCGCCTGGCCAGCAAGTGCAGTGATATCAGACCCACAGGAGAAAGTCTTGCTTCCCCACTGACCTCCACACCCACCAAGACAGAGACCTGCCTAAAGTAGGTGCAGAATCGTGGTAGGAGATGTACGGTTCTCTGGAAAGGAGACAATAGCAGGAGGAATCTTGAACTCCCCGGAGCTCAGTGCCAGGACTGCACTAGGTGGGGGAGGGACTGGTTTGAGCTACTGCTGGAGGTAGTTAGGAGACAGGAAACTTGCCTCTGGCACCCAGCAGGTCCAGATCAAAGGAGGTGATCACTAAGTAGGGGACTCTAACCTGGAAATCGCTGTGGGCGAATAGGCCCGCTCAGGGCGGGTCAGTAAGAGCGAGAGCTCCTGATGGACAGGCATGAGAGTGTGGGGGGGGTGGCATAAAAGAAACAACGGGGCATCCTGATGACTCAGCTCCTTGATCCGGTGCCTGCCAACTCCTAAACAGTCGCCCCCAGTGCTAGCGCTCTGTGGGTGGGTGGTCACCATTTTCAGGGTTTACAACCCAGCTGCTGCAGTGTGATACGGTGTTGGGCAGCTCCCTTCCCCCAGCCCAGGGACTCTGATGATAAGCTCTGCCCTTACACAACCTATGGTCAACTAGCCAGGCCCATTTGATGGGTGAACTCTGAATACTTCCCCAGTTGTGGGAGCCTATGCCTGCGGGACTTACAGGCACTGGGGCGCTGGGCGGACTGGGGCAGCACCCCGTCCCCCTAGCCAGCATCTTTCACGTGGAAAGTGGTAGGCTCCACCCCTGGCGGTACGGTGAGACAAGAAAAGCCACTTTCCCTCTGTGACTAGGATGAATCTTTGGGGCCGTGGCACAGATCAACAGTTGACAGCTCAGTGTCTTTGCTGGTCAGAAAAAAATTCTAGCAAAAGGCCAAAACAGGCTCCTCAAGTAACCCCTCCCATCAGGAGCAGCCTCCCACCTGTGGTAGAACCCTGAACAACCTATTAGCACCTCCCCCTAGCAGCAGAGCAAGCAACCATAGAAGTGCACACATGCAGGCTGATAGGCAGCAGCTGCGATCTGCCTTGCTCCTACAGCATCTACTGGAACAGAACCTACACAGGGTGTGTTACTTTCCAAACGAAAACTGAAAGGTGAGAAGCAACAGCTGATCCAGATGGGAAGGACTCAGTGAAAGAACTCTGGAAGTATGAAGAATCAAATGGAAAGCACACCCCCAAAGAGGAACACCACCTCTCTAGCAATGGACATTAACCAAATTCAGAATACTAAAATGACAGAAGAAGAATTTCAAACATGGATTGTAAGAAAACTCAATGATATGCAAGAAAAAATGGATGACTAACACAAAGAAACCACACACACACAAAAAAAAATCCAGGACTTCGAAGAAAAATTCACTAAAGAAATTGAAATAGTAAAGAAAAATCAAACCGAACTGGAAATGAAGAATTTATTCAGGGAACTATAAAACACAGTGGAAAGCCTCAAGAACAAGATAGATCAAACAGAAGAAAGAATCTCAGAGATTGAAGATAACACCTTCCAATTAAATAAGTCAGTCACAGAGATGGAGCAGAGAAATAAGAGAAAAGGACAAAGCCTACAAGAAATGCGGGATTATGTGAAGAAACCCAACTTGAGGGTTATGGGGATACCTGAAAGTGAAGAAGAAAACACGCAAGGGCTGGATAAACTATTCGAAGATATAATAGAGGAAAACTTCCTAGGCCTTGCTAAAAATCTAGATATCCAGGTACAAGAAGCTCAAAGGACCCCTGGGAGATTGAATGCAAACAGGAAGACACCACTACATGCAGTCATCAGACTGACCAAAATATCCACTAAAGAGGCCCTTCTACCAACTGTAAAGTGAAAGAAACAAGTAACATACAAGGGAAAGCCCATCCGAATAATGTCAGACTTCTCAACTGAAACCTTAACAAGCAAGAAGAGACTGGGGCCCCATTCTCACTCTTCCGAATCAGAATAATGCCCAGCCTAGAATCTTGTACCCTGCAAAACTAAGTTTTGTATACGAAGGAGAAATAAAGACATTCTCAAATCAGCAAAGACTGAGGGAATTCACCAAGACAAGAGCAGCCCTCCAAGAAATACTCAGAACAGAGCTACACAAGGATCAGCCCAATAAATGCTCAGGAATGTAAAACCACTAAAAAGCTAAAGATCAAAGGCTAGGTACTACAGTGGCTCAAGAGAGAAAACAAAGCAACAAAATGAAACCCAACAGAATGAACAGGAATTGGCCCTGCTTATCAGTTCTCTCAATAGATGCGAATGGCTTGAACTCCCCACTCCAGAGACATAGGCTGACCGAATGGATAAAAAAATATAAGCCAAGTATCTGCTGTCTTCAGGAAACACATCTAACCTGCAAGGATGCATTTAGACTCAAGGTAAAGGGGTGGAAAACAATATTTCAAGCAAACGGAAGCCAAAAGAAGGCTGGTGTGGCAGTTTTGATTTCAGATAACTTAGTTTTTAAATCAACAAAAGGAATGAAAGACAAAGAGGGTCACTATATAATGGTGAAGGGTACAGTTCAACAAGAAGACATAACAGTTCTAAATACGTATGCACCCAACTTAGGTGCACCCAGATTCATAAAGCAAACTCTACTTGATCTAAACAAATTGATAGACAGCAACACCATAATAGCCGGAGGCTTCAACACCCCACTGACAGCACAGGACAGATCCTCCAAACAGAAAATTAACAAAGAAATAATGGACTTAAACAGAACCCTAGAATAAATGGGCCTGACTGACATTTACAGGACATTCTACCCAAAGACCACTGAATATAGGTTCTTCTCATCAGCTCATGAGACATTCTCTAAGATTGACCATATTCTAGGACACAAAACATGTTTCAAAAAATTTAACAGAATAGAAATTATACCATGCACCTTCTCAGATAACAGTGGAATAAAATTAGAAATCAACCCCAACAGAAACTCTCATCTCTGCACAAAGTCATGGAAATCAAACAACCTTCTGCTGAATGATTACTTCATAAATGAGGAAATCAAAATGGAAATCAAAAGATTCTTTGAACTAAATGACAAAGGAGACACAAGTTATCAAAATCTGTGGGACACAGATAAAGCAGTCTTTAGAGGAAAGTTTATTTCCATAAATGCCTATATCCCAAAGTCAGAAAGATCACAAATAGACAACCTAGTGAATCGACTGAAACAGCTGGAAAAAGAAGAACAGACTGACCCCAAACCCAGCAGAAGAAGGGGAATTAATAAGATCAAATCAGAGCTAAATGAAATTGACAACAGGGAAACTATACGGAAGATTAATAAAACAAAAAGTTGGTTCTTTGAAAAAATAAAATTGACATGCCTTTGGCTAGACTAATGAAAACCAGAAAAAAAAAATCTCTAATAAACCCCATCTGGAAAAAAAAAGGAGAAATTACAACGGATGCCACGGAGATACAAGATATCATTTATGAATACTATAGAAACCTTTATGCACACAAACTGGAAAATGTGGAGGAAATGGACAAATTTTTAGAAACACACAGCCTCCCTAGGCTCAACCAGGAAGAAATAGAATTCCTGAACAGAACAATATCAAGGACTGAAATTGAAACAGCAATAAAAAACATTCCAAAAAAGAAAAATCCCAGACCAGATGATTTCACACCCGAATTTTACCACACCTACAAAGAAGAA